CCCCAAGGGCCGGCGGCTGCCCGAGAGCTACTGCGAGACGTGGAGGACAGAGGAGCGAGCTGCCGTGGGCCAGGCCTCCTCGCTGAGCACCGGGAAGCTCCTGGAGCAGGCGGCCAGCAGCTGCCAGAACACCTTCGTGGTGCTGTGCATTGAGAACAGCTTCATGACTGCCTCCAAAAAATAACACCGCGCTTGGGACGCTGCACGCCTTCCCAGGGAGGGCCAGGCCGGCCGAACTGGCTCCCCTGGCTACGCTCTTGCCCTCACCCCGTGGGGTGGGTTGTTTTTTATTTTTTCTCTCCTCCAGAACTAAAGCCAAAGAGTATCGCCATCGTTTTTTTCCATCCTGGCACACCAGGGGGTTCATGATGTCCCTTGCCTGGGCTGTGTGGGGTGAGGCAGCCCGAATGCAGGGATCCCCCAGCCAAGTCCTCCTTCTCCTCCTTTTGGACACAGCAGTTTCACTTCTAACCCCTAATATTTAACCACTTTAGCTGTATGCGTGCATCGGCCATGTCCTCTAGCATCTTGCTAGGATGCTCTTTTGGGGAGGCTTGGAAGAGGCTTGCAGGGAGGGATGTTCTGCAGGAGGATTCTGGAGATGCTCCGCGTTGTGTTCCTCTAGAAAACAGAGGCCTGGGGGGAACCCCCAACTTCCTAGCCTTGTGCCGTCCTTGCCTGTAGCCTGGGTCCTGACCCAAATCCAGGCTGCTGGGGCCTTGCTGTACCTCTGGGCCACCCAAGGGAGGACAGTGCTCACCTCAGGCATCTTTGGCGTCTGGCCAGCTGGCTCCACGTGCAGCATGCCCGTCCCAAGCAAGAGAGCATCCCTGGGCAGGGACTGGGCTCCTGGGCGCTTGCCCCTCTACTTTGCATGCAACAGCCTCCACCCCACCAGGTAAGGTTCATCCCAGCTGCCCATGGCTCTTCGGCCTCGCCTCTGCCTCCCATCCCCCTGCCTGCCCCCAAATCCCCATCTCCAGGTCACCCTCCATCACTGCCTTGCTCCCCAACCCTCTCCGGGTGCCCTCTGGACCCCATCCAGGTGCCCTTCCCTGGCCTCCGGTGGAGGCTGCCTGCCCAGGAGTGGGAGGGGGGCACCCAGCCTGCTGCTGGCCTGTGTTTACATGCGTGTGCGTGGCTGTGCGTGCATGTGGACCGCGTGATACCCAAGGCCGGAAACCACAAGCACCCTCCGTGCCACCTTTGTTGCGCCCTAAGGCCAAAGCGAAGCAAAGCTGGTTTGAATTGGTGTGGACAAATCCAAGGTGCTAAAAAAGAGAGAAAAAAAGAAAAAAGAAAAAAAATCTGTAACTAGCTTTTTATTATTGTATGGAAATTCTTACCATAAAAGCTGTGCGAGTCACACAGTCTCTATTTCTTATCGTCTACTGTATTTTGTGTAATTAATGCAATTCAAAGCCTGTGGAGCTTTATATTTTTTTGTCAGTTGTGTCCTATAAACCATTTTTTCTAAAGGCACTGAATAAAGAAATGTTATCCTCTTGTAGTGTGGCTCCATGCAGCTGAGCAGAAGGATGGGGAGCCAGGAGTCCTCCAGACCCCATCTGTCTCCCTCCCATAGCACCTGGAATTAGCTCTGGTTTCAGCTCTTGATACTGTCTTGGGCATCCTGGCTCTGCTCTGCTTGTGTTGGGGCCTCCCCAGCTCTACAAAGGGAGCAAAGGAACAAGCCCTGGTACAGGTTGGTGGCTCCATGTTAAATATGTATCCTGGGGCCCACCCAGCTCCTAGGAGACCCCAAATCTGTGCTGGATGGGGACTCTTTCCAAGCCCTGATGGAAAAGCTGGAGCAGGAGATCCCAATCTCCTTTGCCAGGGGACAGTGGTGGGGCTGCAGGTGGGTTGCGTGGATAGGAGACAAAGCACATCACGGAGTGGTGATAGTCATTTATTGAGAGCCGTGACCCACTTTGTGGGACAGTGAGCACCCATGGAGGGGCAAGGAACCAGCCACGGGCTCTGAGCCCTGCTGGTGAGCGGGGCTGGGTTAGCAACAGGGCCTTGGGCCTATTGCTGCTCTGAGGAGGGAATCGCCACGGTGCGCAGCCGTCCTCAGCACCAAGGGGGGCCAGGCCCCGTGTGCACGCGGGGCCGGCGCTCAGGCTTGCGTCGTGTTTGCCTCCGGCCTCTTCTCCTTCTCCGGCACATCCACGGGGGGCTGGGGCAGCTCCTTGGCGAAGGCCGGCTCCGTGGGCTGCTTTTGGCGGTGGTGCCGGATGCCCACGCCGATGGCTGCCAGCAGGTAGGCCACGGCCAGCAGCGTGAAGTAGCCGAAGTACACGTAGAACTGCGAGGTGGGGACAGAGGGAAGCCCATAGCAAGCTCCCAGCACCCAGGTGCGGCAACCTCACTTACCTGCCTTCTGCCATGGGACCTGGCATCTCTGTGAACCCATCCAAGGAAGCAGCAGTCCCAAACACCAGCCCCCGAGCTGTCTCCCTCCCATTTCTTCTTCCCCTGTGCTGTATCTCGGACCACCCCAGTTCTTGGTGCCCCCGAATCCTGGCCATGTCCCCTCCCATCCCTACCTGAGGATGCACAGAGAGGCCCAAGCCCCACTTGTCAGCCACAGTAATGGTGATGATGGTCTTCAGGACAGTGGCGAAGAAGGTGTTGACCCCAAAAACCAGGGCACAAAGCTCTTTGGAAAGGGAGGTAGCAATCCGGAAACTGGAAAAAAGGGAGGAGAGTGAATTCAGCCCCTACAGGGCAACGAGACTGGACATCGCCACAGAAGGCAGATATATCTGGCTCATCCATCCCCTGAGGAGCAGGAACGGGGCACCACTCACATGGCGATGGGCACCAGGAACTGGTATGAGCCACGGAAGAGCACGTAGGCCGCGTAGCACAGCCAGATGTTGCTGGTGCTGTTCATGAGCAAGACCAGCCCTGCCTGGAAGGCTGTCACAGCCCCGATCACCAGCTCTGACCACAGCGTCCAGCGGATTTTCAGGTAGCCAGCTGCAAAGGAGGCGACTGCCCCTGGGGGGAGGACAGGGGCACCATGAGTGATGCCCCTGCCATGAAAAAAGAATGTTTTGCCTTCTTCCTGTCCCTGAGCCTGGCAGTAACCATGAGACTAGCAGCGTTTGCCCACCCTGCCCTACCCAACCAACCTCTAACCTGCCCCCCACCCTCATCGCAAAAGCACTTCAAGGACGGCCACAAGAAAGGGATAGAGCAGGATGGAGCGATGCTCTGATCCCTCTCTTTGGAGCCGTGGGAGGCTCAAGGAGCGTACCCAGCAATGTGGATGCGGCATCCACCCCTCCGTTGTAGACCCTGTGGTTGTCCCTGGCAGGGTAGATCTCATTCCACAGGATCTGCACGTAGTACAGTATCAGGTAGTAGCCAGCTGAGTTGAAGACCCACCAAAGGGACCAGAGCCGGAGCTGTGGCTGCTTGGCCACCGATCCCACCTCCCGCAGCATGCGGCACAAGACCACATCGTGCCAGCGCCACCTCCCCTCACCACCCTCCTTGGCCATTTTGTCCAGCTCTGTTGGTGCAGCTCCATTGCAAGCTGCATCTGCCCGGTTGAAGAAGAGACTGCGCTTGGGCCGCTCCAGGAAGAGCGAGAGGATTAGGCCGAAGATCATGAAGCCTAGGGAGACATAGTTGAGCGTGAGGAAGCGGACACCACCCAGGGTGACACAGAGCTGCCCCAGCACTGAGCTGGTAAAGACACCCATGAGAACAGAGGAGCGGGAGTAGCTGGCCATGCGCTGGTAGCGAGCCGGGGTGACGAGAGAGAAGATGTAGGAGGAGTAAGCGATGCGGGCAGCCATGGTGACGCCGTAGAAGAACTCCATGAATTGCATGGCCAGGACAGAGGTGCCCCAAACAAGGAGCAGCCAGATGGAGATGTGGCTCAGGCTCTGCAGCAGCAGCACCGGCTTGTAGCGCAGGTAGT